CTGCCCGGGATGCTCTCCTGGCAGCACGGTGTTCCCTCTCCTGCCCGGGATGCTCCCCTGCCCGGGATGCTCTCCTGGCAGCACGGTGTTCCCTCTCCTGCCCGGGATGCTCCCCTGCCCGGGATGCTCTCCTGGCAGCACGGTGTTCCCTCTCCCGCCCGGGGTGCTCTCCTGGCAGCACGGTGTTCCCTCTCCCGCCCGGGGTGCTCTCCTGGCAGCACGGTGTTCCCTCTCCTGCCCGGGATGCTCTCCTGGCAGCACGGTGTTCCCTCTCCTGCCCGGGATGCTCTCCTGGCCGCAGCAGCTCCGGCCGGGGCCCTTGGCAGCCCAGGATGCTCCGGGCTCATTCTTGACTAAGATTGCGTTTCTGGGCAGAGGAATGCGTCGCAGCGGCAAGACCCACTCGTTGTTTGCCTCTTATAGTAAACTGATCTACTTTTTCACAATGCTGTTGTTCAGTATTCCTTGGCAGGCTTGTCCCTGTTGCTGTGCAAGAGAAGCACACTGCCCTGGCTTTGTTACACTGTTGGTGTCTCAGTCTGGCATGTGCAGAAGAGGGAACACTGATGAGCAGCCACACATCGTTTGTTCACCCTCTGCCCCCAAAGCCACCATCTATTTTGTTTTGCATGGGCTGGTTGTTTTGCTGAATGACTAATCAGCTGCCAAGTCATCCATTTTTCTCTAAATGCCAGAGAGCTTCATCTGCTCTAACAGCACCTGAAAGCCTTTGGCATTTTGGGGTCACTGGCCTGTACTTGCTGTCAGTGCTAATGCTATTTGATTTTCAATATTAGATTTTATGCCTTGTGCAAAGCTGCATGTGGCCGGGATGTTTAACTGCAGTGTCCATGGCTCATAAATTCTTAACCCACAAAACCCAACAGGGAATAGTGAGGAAGCCCAAAATGAGGGTGGTGTGTGTGCATGTAAACCAACACTTGAGCTCTGTGTCTTGCAAAGCAAATAATGAGCAGGATTTTGCCTTGGCACCAGAGACCAAAGTAGGAAGAATATTTTAGCATGCTGTTTAAGCTACAAGGGAGTGTACCCAGTGGGAAACATCAGCCAGAAAAAGAAATTGCAAGATTCAAAGTTGAAATTAAGCTTTTTTTTTTTTTCTTTTAAAACTGTGAATGCATCCCTGAATGTGGGCAGACAGGGAACAATTTATTAAACTACCAGGTCCACTTGGAAGGGTATTTAAATTTATTAGCAAACTCAAAGTAACAGAGAATGAATAAATGGGCTGTTACATACAGGAAAGAAGAAAGGAATGAACAATATAGATGATTTTTGCTGTCAGTTAAATATTAACTCATAAATGCCATTAGTCCATGAACCCAGTGTCTGAAACCTCTACGATGGTTTTGGACAGCAGTATCTTTCCAAGTGTATCAATTAAACAAGCAATTGTTACTGACTTGGGTCACATTTCCCAGTTCCTATCAGTAGCAGTTCTGTGAAGCACTGAAAGGTGATGCTGAAGAGCCCCTCATTGTTCTGGTTTGTGCCCAGCAGCAACACACAATGGTAAACTTAGGCCCGTGCTCTATTATTTCACTGTTTCACATACCAGCACTTCATTTTGCCAGTTCTAGTTTTCATTTGTGAGGCTGAGTTCATGGGGAAAGTGGATGTGCAGTTAAACTTGTTCTCTCTTATTTCCTGCTCTGGTTTTGGTACCCTGACCCTCACTTACCATGCGCAGAGGGTGTCACAGCAGTGGGAGCAATCCTGTAAAAAGGCTGGGAGGAGAAGCATGGCCTTTGATCTCAGCTGTGACAGGACTTGACATACTTAGCCAGGGAAAATACTTTGGTCTGATAATAATGTTGATGACTTACTTTAAATGGTCCACAAGACCAAAACATTGCTCTAAAATGTTCTCCATGAAAAGATCTGTCTGTGCTTCTGGTGTGACTCAGACTGAGCAGGGATGGGAAGCACATGGGAAGAGCTGATGACAGCTTAGGCTGAACTGAAGGCATTGAGCCTCTAAAAAATTGAGCAGGAAGGACTGCAGAAAGCATGGAGACCAGAAAGGAAGTGGCTTGGGAAATGCTTTTGGTCAGACATGGCCTAGTGGGCCAGGACTAGTCAAAATGGAAGGAGGGGAAGAGGAAAGATGTCAAAGAGCTTTGAAATAATAGGACTTGTGGGTGCTGAAGATGGGGAGCTGTGCACAGAAGCAGCTGCCTCTGTAGGGGTGGGAAGAGCACCAAGGGTGTAATGCAGCACCTTTGGTTTTGTTGAGGATAAGCCTTTGAAACTTTCAGGACAGCACTGAGCCCCAGCTCAAACCAGTGCACCTGGAGGCCACCTCAGGAGCAGGTCTGGCATGAGTGAACTGGATACAGGTTTGCAGCCTGGTGCAATCACAGTGGAAAGATCAGTGGAGAGGAATACTCCCTGCTGCCCTGGGCTCTGTTACAGAGCACAGCTGGCTGCCCACATGAGCAAAGTGGGCTGCTCCCTGGAGGGCAGGTACCTGCTCTGCCTGTGTCAGAGGTGATGGGGTTTGACAGAACAGCATGTTCCTCTCTGCAGCCGAGCTCTCTGCTGAGTGCAGGGCCTTGGTTGATGGAGGGCCTGGTGTGTGTGGGAGAAAGCTCCTCCTGTGAGTGAGGGGCTGGCATCAGCCCTCCCAGCAGCACCAGTGGTCCCTGCCCTGCTTGGCTCCCAGCCTGGGCTGCAGGACCAGTGAGTTGTGCTCTTCAGAGCTTCCCACTGGGCTGTGCCTCAGCCAGCCCTCTGCATGCGGCAATGGCCAGGAATAAAGAGCAGCTGGTGAATCTGGGAAGAAGAGAATCTCCTGGTTCTTTTCAAAGGCCCTCTGAAATAGCTCCTGTCCTCCAAACCTCAGCTCCTTCCTTACAGGTTTTTAACTGTCAGTCAACTCCGTGCAACACCGAGCCTTTGCTCCTGTGCCATTTTTGCCTGTTCAGCTCTCTGCCCTCTTTCAGGCTGTCCTTCTATCCCTTCCTCACATCTCTTGACTACAGCCCTAAACCAAGAGATTGCTGAGAAGCCCCAGGCCAGTTCTGTTGTAAAAAAACAACAAAGCTGTAGTAGAAACACTGGTGCTGGTCAAGGTGCCAATGTATCTTCTTCCAAGAGAGTTTTTTTATGGCATTTCTGTATAGAGGGCAAGAGCAAGGGTTAATGCTCTGCCAGACTGAGGGCAGGAGATTAAGAATAAATTGTATCTGCAGTTAGACAGATCTTCCTGTTCTTCTGTTATAGTTATGGCTGCTATTACAGTCAGTTGTAGGGCATCTAAGTAAAATTCATCTACAATACACGTGCCTGAAATTGAGAAGGAAGGCAGAAAACATTGCGATTTCCAAGTAGAGATGACCTCTGTTGCTCTCTGAGCTCGGGCTATTTTTGGCAGGAGGCAAATGAAGCTAGGGCCTGCCTTGGAATGAAGGCAGAGCAGCTGCCAGCCCCTGTAATTAGCCAAAAGACTGTGGAGTGTGGCCAGGAGGCTGCAGAGCACGTGGCACTGCTCAGTCCAGAGCAGCGCCTGCAGGAATGCAGAGCCCAGCCAAGCCCAGAGACTGCAGCTGGGCCCTGGGGAGGCCTGAGCCCCTCATCTGGGGCTGAGCACTCACAGAGTGCCCTGGACAGGGTGCACAGGGCCCAGAGTCTTTGGAGCAGGAAACACAACCCTCATCCTGCACACGGGACTGATTCTGTCCTTACCAAGGGCCTCCAAACACACTTGGATGGAATAAGTGCTCAGAGTAAACTGGGGCTTTGCTGACCCTGAATTGCAAGAGAATGACTCAAATACACAATAATGGATTTAATCATGTATGCATGTGTTTGGTGTAATTGTAGAGGAAAAAGAGTTACTACGGTCAAGATTTCTCTGGCAACCTCTTGGTTAGTGAAGCTATTGTATCTCTTTATATGTAAATTCCAGACCTGCCAAGAGCCTACACACAAAATACTTTCTACTGATAATTGAAAATGAACCTACAGGAGTTTATGAAGGGTTAGTTTTCTTTTTTTTTTTTACATTGTCTCACATCATATATGAAAGCAATCAAGGAAACAAGACAACCAAAATGTGTTTGTCAGAATTTTTACTACAAATATTTTCCTTCCATGATATTTAGTAGGAAAACCACATTTAATTTTTCTCAAAGCAATGCATTCATTCATATAGGCTGGCTTAAGGATGCAAAAAATGAATATATTGCAGTCAGGAATCACAGAGTCATAGACATGGGCTTGATATCAGAGGCTATAGATGATTATAAATCTTTCCATGGCAAGATTCCTCAATTGCTGCTTTCCTCTGAGGGCAGTAGCACAGCAGTGTATTTGTACACTCCTGAGGAAAGCCAGATCCAGAACCAGTTCCTGGCCTGAATTTTGTCTGCTTCTTACCAAGGACTTTCTCTGTAGGAATGAAACCAAGCAAGCATGCAGGTAATAGGGGAAGATGTAGTTCAGCCTGCTTTACTCAATGTGTGGAGCTATACATCAGTTCCACTGCTCTTTCAATTTTTCCTTCCTTGTTCAAGCAGTGAGGAATCTGTTTCTCAAGAGCAGTCTGATTTGTGAGGTCTCTCAGTTCCTCATTAGCTGCATGAGTTATAGAAAGTGGAAAACTCTCTGGGACTTGAGAAATGATGTGTGCTTCATGTGAGGCATTTCCCCATCACTTCTGTGCTGGATTTCAGGAACATTTTAGGTAACCAGTCTATTTCTCATGGGTACTCTTGGGCTATTTTATTTCCATGTGTATGAGTTTGTTTCACAACTCTGTTTTTAATGTTTGAATGAGACAAGGAAAGAAAAAATGCACCCCACCTTACCCAGGAGAGATGATGTGTAATCATCTAAGATGTGTTTTGCTGTAGAATCTTACAGCTTTAAAATTTTTTGTTGTCAGCATATTTCAAACTTCAGGGGCTCTGACTTGGATTGATGTAGATTTCGATACTACCTGCATTCACTCACTTCAAAACTTCCATTCAAAATCTTCAACATTTTTTCCTGGTCTTCACAACTTTGCTGTGATATCTGACAGGGATGCCAGATGGCCCAAAGAGATAAACATCAAACAAGTAGAGTGTCCCTGCCTCCAGCCCCTTGATGGTCTCTGTGGTGACAGCTCGCTGGAGGTTTAGGTCATAGAAGTACTTGCACAGCACTTTCTCTGATTTGGGCCGAGATTCAGGCCCAGAGCACATGTCTGCACTCTGCAGCTCCCTCCAGATCTGATCCTCCTCAATCCTTTTTCTGTACACACAGTACTTGCTCTCCTCTTGTGTTCCCAGCCAGGCAATGGTCACAGACCTGCATGTTCTCAGTTTACTGAAGGATTTGATTTTTAAGCTCTCTGGAAGAAGTGGGAATAAGGGCTTGTGGAAATGGGGGGATGCCAGTACCTTCACAGAAGAGTTAGATTCCTCTGTGGACCTCAGCTGCACTGAATAGGTGTCCAGCAGCTTTCCCTTCAGGGAGAAATACCTCAGCCCAGAGAGATTTTCTGATGCCACTGTTTTGCCGTTTCTTGTTATGTGAACCCGTATTTGACCCCGACACAACTGAAAGGTGAAGTGGATTTTCTTGTGCCTCGCCTGGTACTGCAGACTGTAGAATTTCTGCTTTTTCCCATCCAGGACCACATGAATCACTTTGCCATCTTTCAGCTCTGTCACCTTGGGCTCAGGTTCTTCCAGGGTCCTGGCGAATGTCCCGGTGTATGCGGCGCTGGCGTTTGTGAGGAGATTGACAATAAAAACATCAAAGTAATACTGAGTGCTGGGGCTGAGGTTGGGTACTGTGTAAGTGTTCTTGGTGCCCATGCACACCTGCCTGACTTCCCCACTGCTGACTTTGTTGATGATGCTCAGTTCGCTGTTGGACAATATCATCACCTGCTGTGGCTCCAGAAGGTACGGAGAGAGGGACAGAGCTAAGGTGGGTGGCAGCTTCATTCCAGACGATCTGATGGCTGTCTCAGCAGCACACAAGCTCTTGTAGTTGTGCTTTTCATTAACTAGGAGACAGTACTGGATGCTTTCCCTGTGCTGCAAGACAGAAGGGCTGTGTTTCCAGGCCAGAGTCACCGTTGTGTGGCCGATGCCGATGACATCGATGCGTGGATCCGCTGGCAGCTCTGGGTAGAGGTGCCCAGAGGTGGTGTCAGTTGTAAGGTACACAGTAATGTGTGTGTCCCTCTCCGTGGATAAGAACTCGAGCAGGTAAAGGGCAGAATGGGAAGACATTCCCATGTAAGTCTCTACAGAATTTCCCTTGTAGTTGAAGATAGTGGACACCATGCTTGAAGCCTTGTTAGATTTGGAGACCTCTTGTGTAGCATGGTCACCTGCAGGCAAAAGGCAGACTTGTAATTTCTGTTGTAAAAGATGTGAAATAAAGCACATCGTGCAAGTTTTACTGTTAGATAACATTATATTTTCTTATTGAAAGCAGCAATTATAACTAAAAATATGTTTTAGCAAAAATATGTTGCTACTGGCAATTTATTAAATTAAAATTTGAGAAGCTTTTATTTTAGCAGTGCAGCTGTAGAATTATGTTTTCAAAAACACTGTAATTATGAAACCACAACTTGCAAAAGCTTGGCTTGTATCGTGCCTGATGCCCCTACAATTTTCTTCTTCTATTTGCTGTCTCTCAGGGTACTTTAAGGAGACTCATTATTTCTATGATAGGTTTTTTTTCTTTGGATTAGTTTTAGGCCATTGTCTCATAAAGAGGGAAAACATAAATTCAAAGGAATATAATTTGAACTCCTTAGGTGTACCTGCTGCAGGTAAGGACTTGACAATGGCAGCTTTTAGATTTTTAGTTTGAAAAATTAATTTAAAAAATCATGCAAGAGAAAGGAATTGCCTTTTAGGGTAAAGGCAGTATAGCACCCACTGCCATGGTAGATGTGGCAAGAATAAATGGGTAAATCTTCTCTGCTTCATGTGGGGAGCAAATGGTAGTCTCAAGTGACCTAAGCCACAGAAAAATAACTGAGGCAGTAGAGGGAAATTCAGCCCAGTACCAAGAGCTTATGAAGTTGGTCTGTTTGTGCAGCCTGGAAGACCTGCAGTTGTTCATAAATATTAACCTTAGATGTAGAAATTTTAACATCTAATCCTTAATTTATTTGTGTTGAGGGCAAGATCTGATGGGTTTCCATGTTTCACCCATGGAAACCAGGTTAGTCCATGGCGATTTAAAGGAGGGAACCACAAATTGTGTAGGCTTGTGGGAGATTTCCTATAACACCGTTATCTATGAGTAACTTTTGCTTTCTTTGCCTCTGCTTAGGCAGGCTGAAGGCCTTACCTGGTGCTGCTTTTCCTGGTGGAGACTTGTACACAAGTATGCTCCACTCAATGGGAACATCACAGGGTGTCACTGTTATTGAGAAAGGGGCAAGGGTCCTGCCCTCTTCCAAAACAAAGTAGTACCTGTAAATGTGAATAGAAATAGAGGCAATGCATCATTCAGGTTCAGGTTTGCCCAAAACTCCTTGTAATCAGCTACTCTGGTGTGGATCACTTTGCTCTGAGTAGAAATGACAGTTTTCTGAGGTGCGTCCACACAAAGGGATGATGAGTGTCTGCAGTCTTCAGCTGTGGGAAGAAAACAGGCTGTGGAGTATTTTATTTTTTAAATCCACATGTATTTCCTGAAAAAGGCAGTATTTTTCCCTCTGAGTATTTTTTCCGTGCTTTAGGTAAACACTGTATCTCATCCTTAGCTGGTTATTTTGGGGATGGATGTGATTTAGCTGACTGCCTTTTCCATAACCACCTGCTGCCAGTTCTGCCTTGACTGCCTTTGTGTCAGAGGCTGCTATACCTGAGCACCACAAAGTGCCATCAGTCTCTTTGCTCAGGTTTTGATTCCTGCCTTGAAAAAGCCCAGCCTCCTGTCTTGCTCTGTTTTATTTCTGTTGGTTTTATACAGGCTGTATAATGTATGGACTTGGCCATAAAATGTTTGGATTTGGGTGCCTCGCTCTGCACTTCAGTGAAGGCGATTGGCAATCCAAGGGTTTTTTTGCTGTTCACCAGTGAGACAAGCACAGTCACTATGGATAGACCCTGTCAGCCTGGAGGTGTGGCTTACTTTCAGGGCATGGCTCCTAGGCCAGAGTGGAGCTTCACTGGAATCAGTTCCACATTCTTGAGTCTTTTTCTCTCATCCAAAGCTTGTCCTCTCTTGTCTTGGATCCTGTTTGGATGACTGGGGTTCAAAAGAACCTTCCTGATCATGCTAAACTACTTCCTAATTGCAGTCTTAATGTTACGTCACAAGAGCACAGAAAAACTCCCTTTTCTTTGTTTCAATACCCCTTGTTCTTTAACTAGGAGAGCTCCTAGTTCTGTTCTTGTGAGCATGGTCTCGTTATATAACATGTGCCACGTTCCAGTTTTTCTGTGCAATGCACATGAAGGCTGAGCAATCTGGCTCACCCTCTGCTCCATGACCACTCGGGTGTGTGTCAAAATCTATTTGCTGGGCTCTGTCCAAAGTGCATCTCTTCCCAAACAAACAGATTGATCTTTGCTACCCAGATGCAGTGCCAGTTGTAATATCTAGATCACCTACATATCTGGGTATGGCAGAAGACTTTGCAGATATTTTGGAAAGGTGAAGAATGTGGAATTTCCACATGCAAAGCACCTTTGATCTTAATAAGTTGTACTGCCACTCAGCAAAAACACTTTCAGTGTGCAGGACAGTGGCAGATTTCCTGATAAGAAAACTCTCTGCAGGTATTCTGTTGATTTTTGGGGTAGTGAATTTGCTAGGTAAAATGTTTGTATTTCACCATGAATGTGGGATGGCTGCAGTCTCTGCAGACCTGAAGGTGGGCTGTTTGTGACACAGCTGTTTGCTGCTGGACCCCACCCATCCTTATCAGTTCTGCTGCTGCTCTGAAGCACAGAAAGCTGCTGAAATGTGTACAGGAATCTAAATTTCATCTCAGAGGTTCATTCCAGATGCTGGGCAGTGTAACAACACTTGAGGAGTGGGGCATTTTTCTGGCATTTCAGTGCACACTACAGAGCCCTGCAGGTACACAGGGATTCTTTGCTTATCCTGGTGCAATTCCCAGTGACATGGGGATGTATCTGAGGAGTGGCTGATTTGCTCTTACCTTTTGGGTATGTCCTTCAGCAGGTGAACTGTAGTTTCCTTACCATCTGCAAGTATCAGGGAATGGTAGAAGTTGAAGAGATTGCTCTTGAAGCTCTGTTGGGAGCTGGTGGTGTGTGCTTTTATAGAATGGCACAAACAAGTTGCCATGAGAAGATGGAGAGGAAGATAAAGCCAGAGGCAGGACATCTTCAGTACTGCAAAGTGGGGTGACAAAAGTGAACAGAAATGGCTGTCATAGGAAATAATGTGACCCTCTCTTTCTGTGCCTTTCCTGGTGTTTGTTATAATCCCAGCAAGCCAAGCATTCCAATAGTGCAAGTCTCCATTTTGCTGAATTCTTCAAAAATCACAGAAATATTCCTCAGAGGATATCTCTGCAAAGATTTAATTGCAGAAACTGCTATGGAGTCTTTGATTAGAGGGAAAAAAAATGGAGTCAATGCAGCACAAGTGCAGCATGACAATTATTCAAAAAAGTCTTTTTACTGCTGTCAGAATGAGTGGAAAGCCACATTGAAAAGATTTTTTTTCTATTTTGTGATGTTCGCTTACTAAATTTCAAGGCTGAGCTATTTGTAATGGAGCTGTCCCTTTAAAACTCTCAGGAGGTCCCTATGTCCCAAGCGCTGCTTCTGGTGTTCTATCAGAGGTCACTGAATTTTTATTTTGTCCGCTGGGACAGTAAGCATGTGTAGATAAGAGGATCATTGTAACTTATCCAGAGCTGTGTAAGATACTGTTTGGTCAAAGGTGGAGAATCTTGGATAAGAATCCCTGAACTGGTACTTAGATTTTAAGCTCTGTGGATCTCATTTGGAAGAAGGCTTTATCACTGTAGGGCAGTAATCTTGTTCTTAGATTTTTGTGTTGCTTATAATTCTCACACCTGCATCATTTCCAGCCTGCCTCAGCATTTGCTGCTCACTGGAACTGTAACAACTGTCTTGTACTCACTCTGGCAAGAGATTTTTAAAAAATCACTTATGTCCCATTTTTCAACAGCCCTTATTATCAGCTTGGACTCTATGAAAGAAAAGTACAAAACCAGTCCCCAGCAAATACTGACATTATTTAAACTGCTGTGTGCACTGCCCAGAGCTTCACAGTGGAGGAGGCTCCAGTTAGGACAGGGAACTTTGGCAGTGCACTGTGTGCAGTTATTGATTATAACTTACAGCTCCTTTGTCTGCCACATCCAGTTTCAGAAAGTGTGGAAAGGGCAGAGACCTTTAATACAGGTGCCAGCTGTAGCTCAGGGATTTGGAAAGCAGAGGGAGCTCTGTGTGCAAGATCCCTTTTTTGAGGAAAAAGTAGCTTATTGCATCTTACAAAAAGGAGCAAAGATCCTGGTTAAATCTGATTATTGGCTGGTGAGGGGAGAAAAAGTACAAGACAAAGGCTCAGTTCTTTGTAATTTTCATTTCTTTCTGAGATCAGCTCTTTCCCCATAGTGCCTGTAAAAGTGTGGAAGATTTTAGGCAGTCAGATCTCCAGTTCAGAACACCCGCTGTCCATTGCAGTTAAAGTGGCGACTTTATAAAAGGATCCCTTCCTTTTTAAATCCATTTCAAACATACATCTAAATACAACATTGAATACATCTTTAGGTTTTTCTGTACAAAATCTGGGATTCCCATAGTCAAGCACATCCTTAGTATCAGTGAGATGATTATGGAAATTATGGTTACCAGGTCATCTGAATGTCCCTCTCAACAGCCAGAAAAAGTTGCTTAATTCATTGCCTGTTTGTACTATTTTAGCACTTGGCTGAATGCGGGCTTAAGCAACCATCTGAACAAGTTGAAAGAATAGATAAGATTTCCATATCAATTCCATTTTACTGCTCTTATAATAGAGCTTTTCCTTATGACTCTGAGTCACTTTGCCACTTGGTTATTCCTCTAGTCTAATTATATCTTACAGATTTAAAATAGAACCCCAAATATTTTGCTTTACCTTTGACAGTGGAATCTGAGTTGCTCTGTGCTTTGGAGAGGATTAAAAAAACCTCTTTCTGCTGCTTAAATGACAGGATCTTGCAAACCATACTGATACCACAGCAGCTCAGCTTTTCTTGTCCAGGAAAACAAACAAACCAAGTGATCAACAAACCTATAATCAGCTTATCCCAAAGAGAGCATCATCCCAAAGGCTATTTTCACTCAATTAAACAAACAATATATTCTCAGACTATTGGAAATATGTTACACAAAAAATACTGTACTTACCTATTTTGTTCCTGGCTGGATGATCCTCAGACCGCTCACTTTCTTTGCCAAAAAAAGCATAAAAGAACATAGACTTTTCAGATCTCTGTAGGCAGATGAAAATCAAAACTGTGCAACCAGTCTAACAGGACAGAACTGATTTTTCCATATGGCTCCTGAACAGACATAGCAACTGAAATGCTTGCAGTCCTTCAAGAAAAGTAAAATAAAAACCAAAGCCACAGCAGGGTTTTGGTGCTTTCTTCAGCTGGGTGTTTTCAAAGGTTGTTTTAAACTTGGCCAGTTGTGCAGCCTCGCAGGTGCTGACTGCTGTCCCCTCAGCTCCTGGGGCTGCTCCTGCACCGAGCGTCAGCCAGGCTGCTCCTGCAGCCTAATCCAGCGCTGCCTGCCCGGGGAGCAGCTCGGTGAGGAGGGGGGGTGAGATGGAGAGAGGAGCAGACACTGTTAACCCTTGTCAGCCCTTCATCCAAGCCAGCCAGGGGTGCACCAGTCTCCTCCAGAGAACTACTTTTGCGTTAGCAGTGTGATTGCTCTCCCAAGGAGGGTGTGATCTCCCTGCCCTCTGCTCTGCAGAAGCTCCAGGTAATTTCAGCTGTGCTGAGTTTCTGCTGGGGTGCTTTATGGGCCCAACAAGTGCTGACCTAAAGCAGGGAAGGTGAAAAAAAGGTGCAAGGGAGAGAATGCTCCGTGTTTTTAAAGCAGACTGGAATTAGCAATGCTTTGAAGGCTGTCAGAAATCTGCTGAATAGAGCTGAGCAGTTTTCTTGGCTTAGAGAGGCTGTGTAAGAAAGAAACTGTGAAAGCGTCTGGGCTGGGGGAGCATTTCTGTGGCTGAGGGAGGAGGCAGCAGAAGGGTGCATGGGAAGTGGCTCACAGCAAGCCAAGCACTTGCTTGTTGGGGCTACAAAGCAGTTGTAGCAAAGCCATGGCTCTTTTCAGGCCACTCCTGCTGAGTGAGAGCAGAGTATGGCCAGGATTCACAGACTGCTCGTACTTCTTGGCCTGGGCTGTCAGCAGAGATGCCCTGGGATTGGTCCTGTGGGGATGCCTGCTCAGAAAGGCAAGCCCCAGGAAGCTGCATGAGCTTCCAGGCAGGGGACAAAGGCAGAATATTGTAGAGAGGCTCTATTTTTAAATAAAGTCTCTCGTCTAGTGTTTGAAGAGTGGCTGGCAGTAACCCTTTATTACTGTCTCCCTGATTCAGAGTTAGATTGTTTAAGCCGTCCCAAGACTAAAAGTTTGCTAAGAAGAAGGGAGATAAGGGAGAAGTAGAAAGTAGTTTCAACAGATTTTGCTTAGCAGATCCTTCTGAAAATGTAAATTTGCTCATCAGCTGATGTAAGAGAAATATTTACAGTGCAGAAGATGGTAGGAATAATTAAGGTGGTCATCAATTTTTTTTTGCTGAAAAGTTTTGCTGAGCAACTGGGCTTTTAAAAAGGGACAGCATGTGGGAGCCTTGATACAGGTATGATCAAGCTGTTGGTTTGATACAGATACTGTATGATCAGGGTATTGGCACTGTGGAGCTATGAGGGGGCACTGCTGGATGTATGCTGGAAAACTGGCACAAGCAGGATAAATGGTAGACAGGGTCTGCCAGACAAACCATCATTCTGGTGTGAAATGCAGCCCAGGTCAAGTCTGTGTGACAGATCTGGGAACTAATGAAAATGTGAGCACCTAGCCAGAGCCAAAGTGTTTCCTTAAAGGAGGAGAAGCAGAAGAGAAAGGTGTGGGTACAAAGTCCAGTAAGGTCCCAGAGCAGGCCTGGAGGAGGGAAATGTAGGTCAGATGAGGTGCATCAAAAATGTGCCCTGAAAACAGGACATGAAATTTATTTTCATAGAAAAAAATATTGGTCACAATGTAAGTGCAGGGTCTGCAGTCTGTTTTGTGGTGGGAATTTGGAGGGACTCGGGTGGAAGTCAGCAGGGAGGATTGTGAGCCAGCAACCAGTGCTAAGTAGGGATATCTCTGGGCAAATCCCAGAAGCAGATGTCACTCATGTCTGGTAAAATCCCTAAATCTGTACAGAGTGGATATGTTTGTTCTAGAATGGATGGACTCTCTGTCTTGTCCTCTCCAAACCTCCCCACTGCCATCAAAACAAACCATTAGCCTCAGCAAATTCAGCTTCCAGGGAAGGCAATGGGACTATTTCCTTTGGCCATCATTTCAGAGTTGGAAAACAAAAGCTTGAAGGAGCCCTCTGTCTCCCACTGAATAAAACACGAGCAAGGATGTCAGGTGAAAAAGGCTGGTGATGGTGTAAGTTTGGAAATAATCCAGTTCCTCTCTGGACAATTTCTCACGTACTTCCCATGTGTGTCTGCTGACATGCTTTGCTGGAGCAGAATCTGTGCTCATAAATTTTCTGAGAGGTTCACTGAAGCACTATCAAAGGGGAAAAAATATTCTCTATGGAGAAAGTTAAGAGCTAAATTCATGACTTGTGTAGCTTGACTGAACTCAGTGAAGTTACAACAGGGATAAATCAGTCCTTGATTTGGCAAAAAATAGGTACAATGGCCTTTTCAGTAGAAAAAGTCTGTAATGAGCAGGCTCTGCTCCCCTCAGAGCCAAGCTGGTGACTTCAGGAGGGCTGTTCAGAGATCCTACTCCTGTTCCAGCCCTGCTGCCCATCCACACCTTTCACAAATGTGAGAGATGGAGCACCTTTGACACCAGAGACTTATACTCAGTTATGTAGTGGCTCTGCTAGAAGATCAGTAATGCTGAAACAAAGGAGCTGCTTTCAAATGGGAGCAGAAAGCCAGACTCAGGGGTTCAGCTTGAAGCTCTCAAAGACACTTGAGATGTTAATTTCCTGGAACTGCAGTCCAAAGTTCTGCACTCAGGTGAGGGATTCTGCAGGCCAGGGGAGTGTCCTGCAGTCTTGGCAGCACTGTCCCACAGCAGGCCCTGCCTGCAGCATTTGGTTGCTGTTTCATGGCA